TCTTGGGATTGTGAACCTTCACACAAGTTGGGGCGTGGATCCCGGGCAAGTTTCTGACATTCGGTTTCAGGAGCCTGGTGTTGATCATCGCAGTTCAACCCGAGCTCCACCAGACTTGTGTTCCACCAACATACAAGTTCGTGTTGGATCCTGCAGCTTTGTCGCCACGAGGGCCTGGCATGGTCTGGCTTCGGGCAGCGCTTCAGTCATGCCGGCAGTGCAGCAGGGCCACTACCCGAATGGCTTATGAAGCCACCGAGATAGGGCAACCCCGAGAGTAGCTGCTGTGTGCACTGTAGCGAGTGCTACAGTAGGATGGGACCCGTTTCTGTGGCTGTGGTCTGCGGAGCACGCAACTGCAGTCGAAGGCGCATCGGCATTCCCGTCTGTCGTGCTATCCTGCCAGACGGCGGTGCAAAATTTGAGGCCCCAGACATGCTTAAGGCTTAGGCAGCGCACTCACAGCTCAGTGCCAGGATGAACCGCAGGCTGCCCACAAGACAAATCCAATCGCGCCAGTCAACTGATGCTCAGAAGCAACGAGTTTCTAACTCCGAGCCTCAATCGCGGCTCGGAGCTCCGACGGTCAAAGATTTATCGACAGTATCCAACCAAACGGAAGCGGCGGCTTTGGATCCGAAGTCAGACTCTTCTTACACCGTCAGGTGCCGTGAGCCTCCGTCTCGTCATCCGAGCAAAGGAGGCTCAGGGTCGACCCAGTCCTGGGGTTTCGGATAGCCGAACCCAAGCGCTGAAAAAAACTCCCGGCCGAAAACTCACCGAAAATTGGAAACACCCTAAAAACTCTTGTGAGCTAAACCTCCATCCCTGGTCTGACGACGTCGTCTCAGCATGATTTATGATAGTATGGCGTGGTTCTTGTGCGTCCTTGCTCAGTGATGTCCTCATAAACACTCATCGTTGCCGTGCTCGTCGTCGACATCGCAGCTTGAGATCTCTTAAGTACACAGCGGAGACAGCAGAATGACAAACCAAGTCTGCTCTGGATGAGTCCCGAGTTATCCTGCGAATGACTGAGCTCTTCGGCTGCTAAGCCTGCGTCTCAAGGCTGCGCCAGACTTGCAAACATGATTGAATGAAAGGGTTTCGGACGTGGACCGTCATGTACACGGATCTAGTGGACCTTATTTGAAGTAATTGTGTGTAGAACTTCCGGGCAAGCAACGTTAAGATGGTGAAGTAGTGTATCAGGAAGCATACACCCGGGATGATTAACATGCAACATACTCACGGGAAAGAACACTGGACTCAGCATGTCCCTACAGTGGATTTGGTTTCGAACCCCACATCATTTCGTCCCCCACATCCCCGAGCACCGCACGCTGTGTTTAAACAGGCCTCCTATGTCCAACACACTCTGTAACAGACAGGCCAGAACCATGCAAAGCGGAAAGGCCCAAGTGCAAACCAGTGAGCTCATTCCGGCTGCGGGGAACAACATCGTCCAGCTTCGGATCTTTTGCTTCGAAGTCCTGCCGGCCAGACTTACGAAACTCGGAGCCAGGAACTATGCAGTCCTACCAGCATAGCCACAATCCTCTTCAACCCGGACGACAGACTGCAAGCAGAATATTTACCCTGTGAGGCCTCTGGGAACTTCCTCAGTCGCCAGCCGCTTATGTCGGTCCTTCAGGGGTCAGAGGATGGGCGCTGATCTGGCGGCCGCTGCGAACGCCGAAGTCAAAATGCTGCGTGGGTCAAACGTCGTATCCGTATTGCTTCGGCACCCCTAAACCCTACACTCGATTAAGTCAAACTCCAAGCCGCATTGAGGCCTGAAATCGCGAACCAAGAAGTCGGAGCCGTGTGAAAACACCAGCTTCGTACAGAGATCAGCAGAGTTGAAATTGGTGACCATTGCAGTGGCATTTCCGCTCTAAACTGCGCTTGGCAATTGATCAAATCGGAGAGTGGCCCCGCCTCAGCTCAGCATGATCTCCTGCGAAGGAAGCTTGAGTTCTTGAGTTGGTCCGTTGCTCGCTTTGAAGGTCCGCCTTTGACTGAAGCCACCCCGAGGCCGAGACGTAAACTTAAAAGTTCAGGAATCTCAGCGCCTGAGCTCCAAGAGTCAGATCCAGCTTTTACGGCTTACACCCCAAACCGCTTGATAACCCTAGGTGATGCACAAGATTCCGTCTACCAAAATAGACCGACCACCACGACTTCCGGTGTCGTTCGGAACGGGGATGGAGGGGCAAGGGCCATGAGCCTGAACTATTGTTTCAGATAGACATGGGGCCGTCAAGGCCTGGGTAAAACCGGGAAAAAACATCTAACTCCCAATGCCTAAACCTGCAAACTGCAAGACCTGGAAACTCTGCCATTTAGGGCTGCACGGTCAGTTCGGACGACTGTTGTGCTTTGCGCGTTGGGCTTAGGTCTTGGTCCTGGGTCTGCTACGGAAGCGACCGCTGCCAGCGTCATACCCGGCTGATGCACGCTGCGTCCCGGTTCTGGACCCTATACAATTTTCTTTCCGAACAGCCCTACTGTCCAAACCCCACCAGCCGAAAACCTCATCTGTTACTGCCCCCCTGCCCGAATGCCTGAATGTTGACCCCGAATTTTGCCAAGGACCTGAATGTATCCTCGATCCCACAAAAGTCACTGGAGTCTTGCCATGTTTCTGTCTTGAACATAACGGCTTCAACTGGGCAGAGCAAGTGCAGCGCAAAGCACCCCAAGGACCCAAAGTTATACAGTTCAACTTCCCGAACACAGAAGAACAGCCTCTGCAAAGTCCCTCAAGCTAACAAGCTTATATCAACTTAGGTCAGATTAAACAATGACATGTCTTCGAGAGCTGACATCAGTATGGACCTCACTCAACGGAGCTACTATCTTCTTGGGAACCAATAACAGACAAGAGCTTCGGAATCACAGGAAGCTTTGTGCGGGAACATTGAACCTCGCCAGGACTTTGCAATCTTGTAAGCCCAAAACTCAATACCCCGTAGTCCAAGCACAAGAAGCCTAATCCTCAGACCGGATGCGCCCTGAGGCATCTTGGGCACATCTTGGCCGATAGAAGCTTTCAGTCACATTGACAACTGATAAGCTCCACACGCTCGTTGCCAAGACCCGTCTCCAACAGCTGCATCAGGGCCTGTTGTAGAGCTACTTGTCGCTGCAACCATGCCACAGGACTTTGGGGCCTTTGTTCAGACTGCACTGTCTGACCAATTGCCAGCTCCTGAACCACCCGGAAAGACTGTGGCCATGCAAATCAAGTCAAGCAGAGTCCCTAGAGAGCTTCTCGGCTCATTCCTTTGTCGCCTACTCTAGTTGTCCTGAGTTGTTCTGCTCTGATGTGGCGCCGGGCCTTGTGCCTGCACTCCACTCCCCTAAACTCAAAAAAATTCAATGCATTCCATTGGCATTATGGCCATGTTTTCGAAGTAGTGAATTCGGTGTACGTGCACTCAGGGGCCTAGACTGGGCTTGGATAGGGGGGCGATATTTTACAAAGGTGTCGGGTTCCTTCAAACTTTCCGAGTCTGGCGACTGTAGCCTGCCCTGACCTGAATCTTGAGTCCGACAGCGCGATACAATGAACCGAACTCCAGCGATCAAGCGTTGGAGGGGCTCGGTCTCCGGCATCGAAGCAACCTTGCCTGGGCATCGCAGCGACATGGGGACTGAGACGATGTTTCCGGTGTTGGCTTGCACAACTCTAGGCCCAAAACCTTTGACCTGCGAAACTGTTCAGGGTTCTTGGGCTCAGGCTAGAGCCTGTCCTCCAGTGACCCTACTGTCCTGCTAGCTGACATCAACCGCATGGAACGGTTACACCCGAATCCACATCAGGCTTGAGAGACTACATGCTCACACCTGCAGTCAAAAACCCCAAAAACGCCAAGCACGACACCCAAACCCAAGCCCAAGGCTTGACAACTTTACTCGCCTCCCAAACTTGTCTCGTGTGGGCAACGGACCTCCGGCTTCTGCCACACAACGCGGCAGTCGGCTTATCAACTGCGAGAAAAAAACTTGCTGAACCCTAAACTGGTTGAAAAGCTAGCACATGGGACAAAAGTCTGGAGCCTTAAAGAGAACCCTCAACTTCTCCGGCGGCTCCACACTTCTCTTGAAGCGTGGTGCAACTTAAACCGCTATGGCGTAACGGTGCTGGATGCAGGCGTTAGGACCTGGGACTACACTTGACGACGCCAAGCCTAACCGGATCTTGTAAAAAAATTACAAGGGATGTTGAGGGTTGACGGTTGGTGGCCTTTAGACCGAACCAAGAAAATACACACTGTGGTTCTTCATTCTTGGATTTTCTAATTCTCTTGGGGGAGTCCTTCAATCGTTCTAGGTACAAACCAACAAAAGACCTTCGGAGACCCAATGGGTGATGTGGCCATGGAGAGGCAACCCTCCAGCATTGCAGCACATGGTCAGCCCCGACAATCTCGGCTGCGAGCTTCTCGTACTGCGCAATGACCTCCTCCAAGTGATCTGGATGGACCTGAGCCACGCACGCACCCCTCTACAAACATGCAAGTTGCACTTCATCTGCAAGAAGGTATAGTCATAGTCAAGGCTCGAATCACTGGAAGAGCGAAGAAGATTTCTGCATGTCATGGCGTAAGCCCCAATGTCCCAAGCCTAAGCCTAAGCCTAAGCCAACCTCGAATTCGACTTCTTCAGCACCCGGCGATGATGTGCTGCCCTGCAATCTCTGCACCTCATTCGCTTGCACTTCAACTGGAGTAGCTTGGGGCGTGGGGAGCGGGAGGAGTCGAGCCTGCGCCCCAGCAAGAGTACATGCCGTGGCATTCAATGGAGCCGGCAAGCAGTGACACTTCGGTGAAGCTCTGCTGCCCGATGCACCGTCACTCAGGAGACCCTTCTCCTTGTCGCCCAGGATGGCGAAAGCATGGGCTCCCGACAGCGGAACTGTTCCGCCTTGACGCAGGCCAGGTTCACCTGTGACACAATCACCAGGCTCCCTGAATCCATTTACCCATTGTGCCTCAGACTCTACAACTCTGTGCTCGAAGCTCTGACCGAACCTACAGGACGACCCATGTCCAGAACGGCCCGAATGCGGACATGGGTACAGGGCTATAGCTGTGTCGGTACTAGGTGTCGGTTCTCCACGCTTAATGCGCTGAGATCGCCTGTGGATGCTTTTGGTATAGGCCCGCGAAGCGCCTCGTCGCCCTGTAATACCGAATCAAGAGGCTCTTATCACGCTACTGTAGGTTGCTCCATTCTTGCCCGGTCGACGTTATAAGAGCGTCGACTGTAGGCTGCATGCGGGCTCGGGGATTAAAGGCCACGAGCTTGTTGTTTCTACCGAGAATTCAAGAAATGAAGTCCTCACATCTTGGGTGAACATCCATTAAGCTAGCCTCGACAGCTCTTGTTCCCCGAAGCCGTGTCGCATTCACCCCCTGCAAGCCCCGAAAGCAAAATTCAATACAGGCCCCAAGCAAAATGAGGGATTTTTAGCTGAAGGCTAAGTTTTGCCAGGAAGCCTCCTGCCATGTCTTGGGGTTGTTCGCCTTCTTCGCCGCCTCGACCGCCTGACCAAAGGGCCGTTTGGGGATGCCGGATGCATCGCTGGCCGCATGACCGCTTCATGCAGCTTATGACATGTAAGTAAGTGTGGGCTTTGGATCTTTCCAGGTTTAGGAGTTGAGGGTAGAATTGTTGAGAGGTCAGGGCTTGGCCCAAGCAGTCTAAAGGTGTGGTATTGGGTTGAGCTGTTGTCGGTGTCGTATTCTTGTGAGTCCACATGCTTGCATTTTGGTGCTTTCTGAGCTCGGCTGGGATTGGGGCATACGCATCTAAAGCCCTACACCTATAGACACTGTAGCTAGTTCGAAGAGAGTTAAAGCCGTAACTATGAGGCAGGTAGGCTGCACTACGCTGATGCAAAGCAGCACCGTTTCACGTGCGGTGGTGCAAGGATGCAAAGTAAGAGCCTGGGTTTACCCCTAGGTTTAGGGTTGAGGGTTTCAGGATAATTAAGGGTTTTTGGGCGTGGAGTTGAGGGTATCTAAACGGACCAAGAGCTCTGCCAGGTCCAGGGTAGAGCGGTGACCGCCAGGTCATCGGCCAACCCGAGCGACCCCTACAGGACCCGTGACAAGCACAGTCGTTCTGCTTCTACTTCTTCCCTGGATTACGTGAATTGGGACCGCCGGGCCATACCCTCGATAAAAAGAGGGAAAGTCCAAGAAGCTCAATCCGTCCGCTGTGCATCCTGCAAAAAAACTACACTCTGTTTCGAGGGCCCATGTAGCAGCACCCCTGTCTTTCCCAACCACAACTCGGCACTAAGCTCTTGGAGTGATCCTGCAAACCTGATTCGAAACTACAACCCTGCAACAACAAAGAGTGCACCACACGGGCTTTGTGCCTAATCAGGTTCCCAATGACAGGACTTCACTGTACGAAGGTGAGCGGAATTTCCCCTGCACCTGCGTGTACTCTCCGAGCTGCACGTGGCCTGGGGTTTAGCATGTAGGGTTCAGCATGGCTAGTAAAATAGAGGTTCAAGCCCCTGAACCTGAAGCTTGAGGCATAGGTTGAAAGTTGAGCCTGACATCGCAAGCCCAAAATCGTGTCTCAGACCGGGATCAAGCATGTAGGCTTCAAGCGATCTCGAGCTGAAAGCCACAACGTCCCAAAGCGGCCGGAACCTCCCGAAAGCCATTTCTCCACTTTTGGATACCTGCGGTTAAACTCCTTCCGCCATAGAGGCTTTAGGCCCCGGCAGGAGGCTAGGCGTCCGTTGTTCGGAATCGACGCGTACAGGATCTTGGCCGCCTGGGCTCCCACGAGTTGACGGGTTCAGGTCCATGCTGGGAATGGGCCGAAGCAGCCAGCAGTTCTGGGTGACGGTTCCCTTTGTCGTTCCAGGCTACTCTGCGACGACGACGAGAGCGAGAACGAGAAGGACGTAGACGAGGACGACGACGAGGACCACGACCATGACCATAAGAACTTCCAGGCATCAGCCTTCCTTGTGGGGCTTGAGGTGTTATGATTCAAGGGAAGCCCAGGAACCGCGAAGCACCGAACCGACCCGCAAAACCAAACCCCTGCAAACCGAAGCATTTGATCCGAACAGCACAGAAAATATGGACGAGACGCATCCCAAAAACCGAGTTTAATACTTCAAAAGGTGGTCGGTGATCCAGTGTCGAGCGTCAGCTCATAAAACCCTAATTAAGCTCTTCAAGACCAAGCCCCAAGTCACCCCACCCAGGGCAGCCTTGTAAAACTTCTCGTCGTAGAGGCGATCGCCGACAGACTGGATGTTGGCCTCAGCAGCACTGTGGCTTCAGCTTAAGCCCGAATCCCGACAAATCCCTGCCACTTAAATGACAAGCCCGCACGACGATACGTTATTTCCGCATGGACCCTCAACAGTGGAGAGGCCCCATAGTAGTCCGAGCCCGACATACCCAACAACCATTCCGGGAGCACCGCTGCGAGCATACTGGTCTCAGAACTGCCTCGAGATAACGTTCCTGGACGACGTAGAAAATCGGCTCCAAGCGAATCGAAGTGTGGAAAGTGAGCGGCACTGTGGCGGAGCTGGATTTGCACCCCAAATGCTCTTGCCCTTGGGCTAGCTGCCTAGATGGCGCCAGAAAGCATCAGTTAACGTTAGGCTGGGGGGAGCAGCGTTTTTGGGGAGATGCGAGAAGGCAAGTCGGATTCCGAAAACCTGGATAAATCAGATGTTTACCTCGAGCTTCTCATGCAGGGGCCCTCTGGGCGCACATTCCGCAGAGATTGGGCGCTCTGCCTGCCTCCTCAAAAGCCGCACGAATCTAAACGAAGCCTGAACCCAACCTAATGAGCACCTCTCCGACTTCTCATCTCCTTCGGACTTCGGCTTGGGAGAGGTGAAAGAAAATGTCTTTCCCTCGTTCCCTCCGAGGACCCGAAAAACCCTACTGAAACTACCACGAGCGTTGGGAGATGATCAAGCTTCGGGTCCGAGACCTTAGGCTTTGGCTCCAAGTTTCGGAGTTGGCTTGGATGTGATCAGGCTGGGATCATGGCTGCAGAATGCCGGATCCTCGCGACGGTTTGTGTGAGTGCACTATCGAAATGCTGTCGGCTCCATCAGCCTGAGAACGCGAAAAGTGTACGCGACGAAAACCGAAACAATTCTTAATGGATACTGCAGGCGACATGTCGATGCCACTGCTTCTGCCAAGGCATGCGGGTTTTGCCGCTTGTGATCCCGTGATTTCGGGCAACTCACCATACCATCCACGACTGTCCACCCCTCGGCCACAACCGGATTGCCTGCGGAGAGGAAACGGAGAAGTCTCTGTCGGGATTGGATTGCGAATCAGCTCTCCGCGCGAGTCACGGCAGATCTTTCACGACGTGCGAATCTGCCTGTACTTCTCGATCTTGCACATTCGCTCCGTTGAACTATGGCCCTGCCACGTTCGTGCATGTCACGCGGCGCATTTTCTCGGAAGATGGACCGTCGACATTCTTATCCAAAACCGATGGCTGTTCTTGCAATTATGTTCTTCTGTAAGCGTGCTCTGCCCATGGCCCAGGGATATAGTGGTTGCCGTTCCTACACGAAATAGCACGATCATCGTGACTCTGAGTCCTGCTTCACTGTCATTACTCGCCTGTTTCCAATTTACGGCTCCTGCGCAACTTTAGGCTCGGCACTTTCGCTACACGTGGGCCCGTCATACTTTGACCATGGGCTTCGGGATCCTGCTTGCAACCAAGGGGCGGTGTTGGTGCCGCTGATGAACTCTTCCATCTCGCCCTAAGTCACACTGGCTTTAGGGCTCAGCAAGGCAAATCGTAAAGCCGACAATTCTCTGACAATTGCCGACCAGAACCATAGATTGCTGGATCCAAGAAGTACCTCATCAAAACCCTGGGAACCACTTCGATGACTGGCAGGACCCCCTCAACGGACTTTAACAACAAGGTGTCCGGACCGCAGAACCCGGAATCCCGATTTTGTAGCGAACGGCCCACACCCTGTCATGCCGATTTAAGGACTGCAGAGTCCTGGGCTTAAGCTCTGCAGATCTTCGGTACTAAACCATGAGAGCAGCTAACGCACAGGAGGAGGTTGAGGCTTCTGGATTGAGGAGGCCTCTACTCGAGCTACCCCTCCGACATCAGGAGGTCCACTGACTCTGTTTACTTCATCGAAGTAAGCTTAGACGTTTCGGTTCCCGGTGTGATGCTTCGGGGATGGGGTTTTGGGCATCGGAGTAATACTTCAGAGTTTTGGGACACAACTACGCACCTGGGAGCCGCAGCCATGCATGTTCTGATACAAGCACTCGCACTTTAAGCCTGTGTGAGGTCACAAGCCTAGGACGCGAAACGAGGCTCAGCTTAGTGTCGGATCACAAACTTCCAAAGCACCACTTCTGGCCCCGGCTACTGCTCAAACGCTAGAGAGTCCTTATGAGGTTACCCGATAAGGACAAGCAATTAATTTCACAGTGGTCCAGAATTCGCACCTCGGCATGCTGCGGCTTAAGGCTGGCTATTAGACCCAGTTCCACTCGGCAGCTGAAGTGAAGTTCTGAACCTATGCCGACTGAAACGCACCCGGTGCGGCCTGATCTCAGCTTGGTTCGGGTTGGCAACTGGCTGACCCAGCAGAAAAGTTTAAGGCCCTGAACATCTTCAAAGCTGCCGGCTGTAAAATTAATATGGCATTGACCTTTCCAAGCGCTCTCAGTCACCGGCTAACCGCTCCGTCTTGGCATACGCGTAGACAAGCTCACCTCCATGGCCATCGCAGCTAGTGCCCCGTGTCGAAAATTCACACTTCACAGGTGCACCAATAGCCTGTTCACCCCGAAGACCAATCCTTTTCCGAAAATCGATGGCCAGATCCAAACCCCCTCCGATGTGAAGTTGAGTTCTGTGACTGCTTATCGCATGCATGTTGCTGTTGCTGCTCCTGGCTTTGCAAGCGCTGCAGGTCCCCTATGGTTCCTTGCCTCGGGCCAAGCCGAGCCCCCAGGCCCCAAACCCGAATGTGCACCAAGGCGCCATCGATCTGCGAGTCCTTCACCTTGGTGCGGGCCATCATCAAGTAGCGGACCAACCTTCGTTGGGGGCTTGGACGGCTTTCAAATTCCATGCTCCCGGTTTGAGGAATTGGGGGAACGTGGTTATCGCTCGAGGGTTCAGGGCTTTCGAAACGGGTTGGCTTTGCTACACAGACATATCTGCAGGCTTATGACTTGCATAAGTCTTCCGGCTTCAGATGGTCTTTCCGATTTAGTTAGGTGTTTGGGGTTCCTTCACGCTTGTTCGGACTGGGTGGTGCTGGAGGATCCTGGATAAAGGACATCTTGGGAATGCAGGCTGTTGGTAAAGGGTTCAGCACAGCTTGCAACAGTCTGTCCAGAGTGCCTTTTGGAGAATTGACAGAGTTATTCGCGCAAGAGGGCACCCTGTAAGGGACCCTCCCAAACAGGGCAATGTGAGCTAAATCTTGAAGCCTACATCGAATCCAAAGCTGTCGTTGGTAGCCAAAGCCCAGAAGCGCGCAACTTGAAGAGTTGGCTCAGGCACTGGCTCCTCATAGTTTTCCTCTCTCTCGGCAGCCTGCGACTGCGGAGCTGCCCATTGGGGATTGAGCTTGGTGGTAGTCTACCAGCACTCCTCTTCATGGCAATATTGGAATTGGCAGGGACGGCAGCAAGACTCAGCAGCAGCGCAGCGGTCGTTAGCAACAATAGCAATCGTAGGGTACTAGAACTAGTACTACTATTGCGACTCTATGAACAAAGAGAACCTTGAGGGCCAGTATCAACCTCAGCTCACACCACCTCATCTAGAATCTAGAAAGCGCCATCAGAATCAGAACCCACTTCGTCACTACGATCATGTCCATGCTCATCCTGGGAGTCGTTCTCGTCATGAAAACATTTCCTGGGACCAGCCCCAAAATGGCCGACCGAGAGAACCTACATCCTGCAATGTTTGGACCAAACCGAGGACTGGACCTCAGTACCCTCCGCCCAACCAGTGCAACGAGGCTACAAGCTCATCAAAAACAGCAAACGTTTTCTCTTTTCGCACGCCTGTGGCGATACGGCTCCTCTGTGCATCAGAAGCAATCGCGGCATTGAACCGAGCACCGCTTGAATTGCAAAACCAGACCTGTCATTGCGCTTAGAGCCCCAGTGACTGTACTCCCTTCATCTGTCTCTCTCTCTGTCTCTCTGTTCCACGCTCTGTCCTCTACCTTGGTAAACTTGCACAAATGCATAATGCAGGCATGTACCTTTCTAAGTGTCTGCCTGTCCGATACGCATCTGCCGACCATGTGCTTGTACAAGCTCGGGTGTATGATTGAATGTTTGCTTTCATATTCCAGCACTTCATGTGTGGAGGTAGCCATGCATACGTTCTAGCATTTGCCCAAAATTTTCTAAAAAAACTTGCATACAGCAAGTTGCATGCACACAGCAGTGATCATCCGTGCATCAGACATGCATCACGGCATAACCACGAAGGAGGCAGGCACAAGGTTAGATACATACAGTCACACGTATATATATATATACATACACATACATAAATACATGCATGCATGCATACATACATACACATACATGCATACATACATACATGCATGCATGCATACATACATACATACATACATACATACATGAATACTTACTTGCTTACTTACTTACTTACCTACTTACTTGCTTACTTACTTACTTACATACTTACTTACTTACTTACTTACTTACTTACTTACTTATCTACCTACTTACCTACTTACCTACTTACCTACTTACTTACTTACTGACTAGCTGACTGACTTACTCACTTACTGACTTGCTTACTTACTTACTTACTTACTTACTTACTTTATTTACTTACTTACTTACTTACTTACTTACTTACTTACTTGCCTAAGTACTTACTTACAGGCACATGCACGTGCCTGCATGCATGCATGCATGCATGCATACATACTGTTGACGGGGAAAATCCTGCAATAGTTCAAGTAATCAGAAAGAGACAATAACACACACACACATGGGACTGTTCAACAGTGATGTCCGGGCCCGAAAGGGCCGTGGGTTTCACTGACGCAAATCTGCACCAGTCACATGTCAGCTTCTGGTCTCCATTAGAAGGCGATGTCATGCGTTTCCTCCATTCACTACACGCACATGCATACGTACATACATAAGTACATACATATGTGCATGCATCATTACATACATAGATGGCTAGGTAGATAGACAGATAGTCAGGCAGGTAGGTGATTAGATAAATAGTGCACATGGACACAAAAGACCGAGAGACAGACAGACTGGCTGAAAGACGGACAGACAGAGAGAGAGAAAAAGAGAGAGAGAGAGAGAGAGAGAGAGAGCGAGCATTGTGGAGGATCAGTCTGCGGCCTCCAGCAGCCAGACCAATAGGGATGCGCCGAACACCGCAAGAATGGGGCGCCATGTCGTCGTCAGCACTGTACCCCGGAACCTTCCGCAATTTCTGGATTGGAGTTCAAATCTTACGGGTATGCCCAAGTCGGACAACATAGTGGGAACAATTACTCATTCCTGTTTTCTCCGATCTTGATGGCCTTCGCATGTCCAGGTGGGAGTTCCGAGTTTCGGGATGCCTCCTGGTTTAGAAGATCGCTGTTCCGGCGCAGTTGACAAATCATCTCAGGGTAACAATAAGAACTAGCAAGAACTATAGGGTTAACGGGTTATGATAATGAGCCAACATCACCCACAATCGTGCTCATGGAAGCACCGATGCAACGAAGACGTTGCCACAATCAGAGACCCTCAAGCGGTTGCACTTTCACTGAGGCATAAGCTCCCACACCGTGCCTGAAGATCAGGCCAAGCCAGCTGCGGTTGTCGTACAGGATCATGTCCTTGCATTTGCAACACTAGCCAGCCATCAAACTACCAACGATGCTAGAATTTATGACGGGAACCCTAAACCCCTAAACCCCTAAACCCTGAACCCTAATTCTAATTGACGGCCTACGAGGCCGGAAGAGCCAGCTAGTTTGCTCCAATGCATTCTGGCGGGTCTCTGCTACTGCTACAACAGCCTGCCCCCAAAAGCGTGGGAACCATGGCTTGCAGCGTTTAGGTTTTTTGGGGCTTGGGTTTGTAGAGCTTAGGGTAATTACTGTTATGACAGTTTAGGCTGCAGACTTAGCCAACCGTCGCTTGGGAGCTGGCAGACAGCCGGCATCCAAGAAGCCAGGAATGTTGAGGCTTTAGGGTTCAGGAAAAGTGCTATGGGCTTTTGGGGAGTGCTATACAGGTTTATATGGCTTCTTCAAGTTTCTAAAGGAAAACAGTCATGGAAATCATGATGCAATGATGGCAGCGGCAGCATCAGAAGCCATAAAAGTAGACAAAGGTTGAAGTCAGACCAGGTAAGGAGACAACTTACAAGCACATGGAGTATCATAGCAGGCATTGTACCCTTGCCTTAAGACCAAGTCCCAAACCCTGAACCCTGAACCCCTTCGAACCGCTTATGCCAAGCATCAAGGCAAGATCATGGGCCAGCTTCTTTGCGCCAGCCAGGCACCGCTTCGATGCCGTCACATGCAAAGGTTGGATCACTCCTCGAACTAATATGTGTGTGTATATATATATGTAGAACAAGTGAACCACTAAGTTACTAGCACGTGCTGGCATAGAGAACCATGGCCAGGTTCATGTATTGATCATTTATCTGTTTGAGTGCTTATGTTCAGACTCATTCGTTTATGTAGTTCCTAGCTTTCTATTTAGTCCTATTCGATGAGAACACATGATTCTGACTGCTTTGATGAGGAACAAACGAAAGCGAAGCACTAGCGCTAGGGCTCCAGGCTTAGGATTCCGGCGATGCACTGTGCCCAGGATCAACCCATAATAAGATTCAAAATGTAAGAATACATATATACGCATGTGTGTATGTGTATATATATATATAGAGATAGATAGATGTTGTTTGACGGTCTAAAGAACTGTGATAGGGCTCCGAATCATCTTGCCAGCTGCTGAGTCGCCTATGTGAGCTGCTAGCTAATCGCAGACTCCTTGGGCTCTCATTCGTTGGTGTGGCCGCAGACTTGCTCTCAGGACCTTTGCCTAGCTTGAGCCGTCCGCTTCAGAAATACAATATAATATAATATAATATGATATGTTATGATATAATATATTTGAATATAATATAGTATAATAAAATATAGTATAATATAATATAATATCTGCGAAACCGTGTGCAGATCCCGGCTCGGAGCGATCGTGACCCGACACGGTTGGCGGAAACAACACCGCCCTCCCCCCCCCATCCCCAAAACCCTTCACCCCCAAACCCGAAACCCGGTTTAGGGTTTAGGGCTTTAGGGTTTAGGGTTTAGGGCTTTAGGGTGTAGGCTTTAGGGTTTAGGGCTTTAGGGTTTAGGGTTTAGGGCCGAACTGCCGCTGCAGAGTCGTTGTCAGCGAGAGTCAGGGTCTAGTCGGTCTTTGGCAGGTCTGAGCCCGCTCATCGCAGAGCACTCAGCACTTGCTGTCCGTTAACAAGGCTCGCCCTGCAGTAAACACGAGAGGGCGGTGTTTGTACACCACCCTCAATTAGTGCATGGGCAGTGCTTCAACAGCTTTCTTGACTAGGACTTCTAGCTACTCCTGCTGCTTGCAAACGCAGACAGCGCCCAGTGAACAAAAACCCCTCATGGCGCCAAGTCCTTGTGCTGGCAGCTTGCTTCGGCCCGAACTTCTGTGTGCCAGTGCGATTGTCAGATTCAAACTGCGCAGGTTCAAGAATTCCCCAAGTACCGTGCCGGAGCAAAAGCTGAAACTGTACTGCTAAGTAGTTGCCAAACTGATGACTCTCACTCCTCAAAAATTGCCTGAGGCCAGCGTATGCACAGAAACATGAAGACGCCTGCACTTCCTGCTGCAAGCCATGCCTTTCTTTGCTCGTGCTTCCACTCACACTGTGCAACCGAGGTGCGTGGAAGCCTTCTCGCAGAAACTTCTGGTCCATCGACTGAACAGGTGGCATAGACACAGAGAGCTGCATGTTGCGAGGCGCAACTTGGTTGCACATGCAGCCGGTCCCAGGCCGTTAACGGGGCGTTCGTCGAGAGGCTTGAGGCTTGGATTAACAGCGGCTGGATCGAAGAAGAGCACGGCCTTGCCGATGAACACAATCTTGGAAACCTGGCGCCGGACACTTCCAGTGACATTACAAGAGATTATGGCCTCCTGAACCCTGTGCCCAAACGCCGAACACGCAGCAATCATGATGATAGTTGGTAATAAGCAGTACTAGCAGCACCAGGAGACGTAGGGTGGTAATGGTCGTGGCGGTGGCCCTAGACACGGCCTGCGGTGGTGGCGGTGGTGGTGGTGGTGGTTGTGGTCGTGGTGGTGGCAGCGGAGGTGGTGGTGGCAGCGGAGGTGGTGGTGGTGGTGGTGGTGGTGGTGGTGGTGGTGGTGGCGGTGGTGGCGGTGGTGGCCACGGTGGCAGTGGTGGCGGTGGTGGCGGTGGTGGCGGTGGTGGCGGTGGTGGCGGTGCGACCAGAAAGCGTTGAAGCCTAAGCCATCGTGCTTGGATTTTTGTAGGCTTGCGGCTTCGGAACTTCGAAAGTTTGTGCGATGTTCCGGGGTGCAGGGACTTTGAGACAGCCTAATATGTACACATGAGAAAAAGAAGTAACAAGCCTGCCCATGTGTATATGGGTGCTCGTGATTCATTCGGGGAAACTCAGGGGCTTAGGGCTTAAAGGTCTCGGCGCTCGTCTTTTCGAGTTTTCGGCTTCAGGATAGGAGCACATCGAGCCCCAACCCTAAACCCTAGACCCTAAAGCATGGACGGTAGGTCATCCGATGCTCCCAGACAGGAACCTTCTTCTCGCCCTCTGCCCAAGGTCCGGCGTCATCTTCGTCGCTGACGTCCATGACCTCATGCCCAGGGTTCCTTTAAGGGTTCCTTTAGGATACCCTTTTTATCCCTTTTTAGGGTTCAGGGTTTAGGGGTTCCTTTAGGAAACACTTTATGAGTTCTGAAGTGGGAACACTCTCGAAGCCTGAGTTGCTCAAAAGGTAAGACCTCGAGCCTGCAATGTAAAGACTTCAGCCCTATGCAGCGCCCCAAAGGCCATGCTCCCGAGTGGCTGCATGGAAGACGTGCTTGTAGGGATGACCCTTGACGGCGAGAATTGCCTCTTGGCTGGAGAATCGGCGCATGCTTTCGACATTGCTGGGGTGGAGGATTAGCACGGTACGCCCCTAAACCCTAAACTCCTAAAGTCCTAAACCCTAAAGATCTTTGATGGGACATGCTCGTGTAGGCTCTGTAGGTCCCTGAATGGGAACTGTTTGATGCTGCCGGTGCCCAGCTCAATAAGCCTGCATCCTGCAGGTCAAAAACACTCAACAAAAACGACAACCATGGCCCTTGACACAAAGCTCGAAACTATTCTGGCTATAGCAGCCATGCGCTCCAGAAGCATCCCTGAAATCATATCAGCGGCGAGTTCGAATTGCGAAACAAAGTCGTCAGCCTGTCCTCCTGCATTACTGAGTGTATGCCATGAGAACCCGCTATGCCATGCTCATCGAAGAAACTAGGTTGTAGGTGAAATGATACGGAACATGCAAAGGCGTCGCAGTGTGGATTGTAGCCCGTATCCCTGACAAGGTTTTTGATTCGAGGGTCGGAGCTTTTGTATGTGGCAAAACATCGCAGGCCAGCCTTGCCCAAGTTTGCTGAAATACCGAATCCGCCCTAAACCCCTAAACCTAAACCCTACTAAACCCCTAAACCCCTAAACCCCTAAACCCCTTAACCCGAAACCCGAAACCTAAACCCCCCAAACCTCCAACTCTGGTGCCTTGATCCGGAAAATCGTACCTTTTTCAGGAGGAAGCTGCCCTGAAGCAAGCAGGTTTAGAGTTTAGGGTTTAGGGTCTAGGCATCGCGCACTACATCCCCGAAGTCCTGTAATGTAGGTGCAGGGGTTTCAAGAAGGGCCACCAGAAGGGATTTTTGGGTATAGGGGCCTTATGAAAGAATAAGTAGAATTTAGGGCCTTGGGGTATCTTATACTTATAGTTGCAGTAGAGACTACAATACTATAAGTGGGCCAATGTGCCTCGTAAAAAATTCCGACCTCTAAACTACCCTAATGCTACACCCTCTACCCCCAGACCCTGCACCCTAAGCCCTCTACAAGTACAAGGCCTGGGCCCTAGATCGCAGACTGTAAAACTCTAAAGTGGGAACTCGAGACCCTAAGCCCCCCACACACTGAACTTTAAACCGTAGGGGTTTAGGGTTTAGGGTTCAGGGTTTAGGGTTTAGGGATAGACCTTGAGTCCCAAATGTGCTCTTTCTCTGTCGAAGCAGCAGCTAGCTCAGGGCTTGCGAGAGAACGGCTTGAAGTTGCAATCTTTGCACTGCTTCGGGCTCAGAGCTATGGGTGCACCTGTTCTTCCTTCGTTTTAGGGTCTAGGGCATGAAAATTAAAGTGGTTACCCATAGGCCCCTAAGTAGTTCATTTTTATGGTTTATATTTAGAGTCCTATAAGGGAATCCCAAAAAGGAACCACTTAGGGGCCTATGGGTAAAGTGTAGAAGCAATCATGTCATGTCTCGCGTCTTCGTCAATACCTTTTCAAGCTCAGAGGAAGCCCAAAGCAGCGAAACGGCTCTCAACACTACATCCTAGAGCCCTTATGCTTCAAGGCTCCGGGCTTAGGGCTTGGGAGTTTAGGGTTTAGGGCTTGGGAGTTTCGGGTTTAGGGTTCAGGGAAGTAAGTTTTCGGGTTTAGAGTCGGTAGTCTGGCAACCCAGTTCCTTCAACACTGGCATCCCGCAGTGGACTCTTCCAGGAAGGCCGCGCCACCACCCCGAAATCTTAAGGAACTCAAAGCCCTGACGAGGAATCCGCAACTTTCCAAGCCAGACACAAAAGAAGCCTTCCCGGGGACCACCCCCTTTGATTCCCCAACCACCACGACATCTTAAAACCCCTAAACACTAAGCCCCGTCGGAAGACATCCAAGCTTCAACCCTCTCAACCCCCGGGGCCATGACCCAAGAAATCCCAAAATCGTGGCCTGAAGTAACTAGACTAGGCTTGTCGGGGAGGAATACTATGGCTAAGTATTCCGACCCCTACTAAAATGCTTTAAGACTTAAGAGCCAACGCAGTATATTCCCCGAGCTGCCCAACGCCCCGGCCTATTGACTGCATCCAAGCACTGAGGCGACGAGGGACGATCTCTCCCTGGCCCGGATTCTGGTTGAGTTTTGGGTTTAGGGTTTAGGGTTGAGGAGAAGCAGCAGACTTGGGTACGACGAGGTAGGTAAAGGCCACTTACGATCTGGTCAATCTCGAGCTGTTGCCGTGTTTGCCACATTATCCGGACACTGCACTGCGTGTCCCGATGCTGCAGGATAAGGCAATGTTTCCTGAAAGCCAGCTGTGTAGGCTGTGCAGGCTTGGGTGTGGCGACATGAAGCGACGGAGGGTCAGCACACGCATATATACGCACACACACACACACGCACACATCTTTTCTTCGCCGAAAATGCATCTCGCCCGTCCCGTTGTCGGGGCAAGTCCAGTCGCCGCATGCCTACTCCTACCACTGCTGTTCGATGGCCACGAAACATACGCATCTTTACTCGTCTACTAGCACATTTGCCCATCTGTACACGTCTGCAAAAGTCTATATATGCATGTAGTAATCCGTGTGTTCCCCAAGCAGTGCTTTAACACTGTGCTGCGCTCACGTTGGAAGTAGCAAGATTAGGCCAGCATATGCGCGAGGCTTTCCCGGTAGGCGTACCCGCCCAAGCTCAGCGCACATGTGCAGCCGAACTCCGGTTCTTTCCACTCTGGCCCCGTCCGCCCGTCACACCGAGTTCCTCCTAACATCCAAGACTCAATCTGGTTGTCGCCTCAAGGATCGCTCCAAGTGGCTAAAGTCCCAGCAGGGCCGCTCTATTCGGGGGCTCATTGGTCCGCTCGCGAAATAATATGTTGGCTGCGTCTCGTGTCTCCATCTACCATAGATGCGTGCTCCGCCACAGTAAACTCGCATTGCAGAACGGTGCTGTGCCGTGTCCTAGGTTCACAAAGACTGCTGCTCTACGAACAAGACATACCTATACTCGCACTCGCACTGAGAGTATGCATGTGTCCGCGGTTCAAGATGCATCCTTGCCATCACACTAGACCCTAAACCCCCAAACCCTACAGACCTTATACCGCCCCAAAAGAGGCGATGCTTCTGTTCACAACCTCCGAAGTTCGGCTCTCAGCCGTCTTTCTCGGGATCCTGCAAGAGATCCGAGAAGCTCCGGCCCTGCAGCAAGACAGCAGAGCTGCTCTTAAAATACGAATCTGGGCTTTAGGGTCTGGAGCTTCGGTGGGGTTTAGGGTTTAGAGCTTAGGGTTTAGGACGTAGACGGAGTAGAGCTTGGGGGTGGGGGCTGTAGGGTCTGGGGTTTAGGCTTTAGGCTTTAGGCTTGCAGCGCTTGCACGTTATTCAATGAAGCATGCTTAAGTGTACGCAGGCAGTCGAATGAGGTGCAGGTCCATGTGATCAGGGTAAAAGCCTCATGTCGTTGTGCAGACCAGCTGAAGTACACTGGAAGACCTTGTTTGAGTTTGCTCTGTACTGGAAACGTGACACTTGCCTGATTTAGGTAGCTCCACGCTCGCCGGAACTCCTGCGAAGCGTTAGGAGCATGTGGCCCACGATGACATGGACAGCACAAATCTGTGTCTGCAGGCTTATTGCAAACCAGAAACGTGGGGCCACACGCTAAAGCAGAATGCTACGGTCCTTTCGGAGAGCACTTTGCTGAGAGGCATCAATGTTTGCCACATCTTTGCCGACCTCACGCGAGTGGTGAGAAGTGCTTCCAACTTCCAACACCCTGCCGGTGCAATTTCGGAGCCCAGACTGAAATTGCCCTCCTCGAAAAGCGGTGCACTGTAAATCAAAACCACTGCTTTCGGTTTGCCTCGAAGGGGTTGTCCACGACCAAAAAGCATTTGGTCCTGGGTATTTCTGTGTCTGTCTTCCTCCATCTGTGCCCCTTCATCTGTGTTCGAGTTTGCCAAGTGCATCACTGCACACGGCTTCCTAAGCAAACTGGCTCAAAGCACTGGCATTTGGGTATGAGCATCCAGCTTGTAGAACGTTCTGTCTGTGCAGCTCGAGACCACGGCAGTTGGATGACGTTGCCACTTGGGGCACAACTTAAAGTCTTCGGGGCGTCATTTTTTGCTTGCATCTGATGATGCTCGTGCAGGTGTGAGCTATCGTGCGTACGTCTACCTACGTACGTACATACATAAATACATACATACATACATACATACGTACGTACGTACATACATACATACATACATACATACACATGTACATACATATGCATGTACGTACGTAGATACCTACCTACTGACTTACCTATACCTAACTGCTGACCTACCTACGTACATGCGTCCGCACGTACATATACACACACATATATGTGTGTATAACTACATATATATGTGTGTATATATATATCATACACACACCATCAACAACAACAAAAAACAAACAAACAAATGCATGCTGACACACAGACAGACACTCAGGCACACGGACCAGCACACACAAATGCACAAACCCCTCACAATCGAAGAAATGGCTGGTGTGCGCATGTGTGTGTGTGTATATATATATATGTATGTATGTATGTATGTATGTATGCATGTATGCATGCATGCATGCATGGGTGGATGGATGGGTGTATGTATACACACATGTATTTTTGCATATGTATTTACATATTTCATACACGCACACACGCGCACATACCTGTAGGCGACGTGTCAAACATTCCACTTGCAGGTATACTCACCCCAGGAATGCTACTGGCGCCATATACCTGGGCTGTACTCGGCAAAAGCTATCTAAGGTACCGGCTCGTCACCAGGAGGCAGCATCGAACGAGTGTCCCGGATTCGGATGATGCCGCTCCTTACCAACTACCGCATGCTAGCTAGCTTGCTCTATTACACACTTCCTAGTAGTAGTGCCGGCGGTGGTGGTCTTAGTTGTCGTTGTCGTGGTCATCACCACAGATCTTGTCATGGTGTCAACACGAGCAGCCGTAGCGTTACTACGGATAATACCAACAACCGTACGCGCACAACTATTGGCATTAAGATAAGTATTTGTAGATCTGGTTCGGAATGTTGCCATGATCATGCTCCTGAAATGATACGTCAAAAATTGGTCACGAATGACACATCGTAGCTCACCGCAGACCCTAAACGGCCCTAAACCCTCAACAACCCCTACACCCTTAAACCCTAAACTACCCTAAACTCTAAACCCTAAACCTTGATGAGGCCCAGGCCGGTAATCTTTCCCGAAGTAGCGAAAAAACTCGAGGAGCAAGGTTGCTGCGTCTTCCTGTCGAGGGGTTATACTTGCCGGGCGACAGGTCTTTCTTCAGATCGGTTTACGGGCTTGTCCCCGTGGAAAGATGCAACAGTTGTGCAGTTTCGGATGATATGCCACATACTAACATTTAAGGTAATATAACCTATAATCTAGAATCCAGTATATGATTGGCTTTAGGTCGTCAAGCTGTGCCGGCCTCGTTGGGTGCGCGTGCACCTCGCAAATATGCCAACTCCTCCCGGATTTTGCCAGCATCAGTGCAGAACCTCCGCATCAGGTACGGCCCCTTTCAAGGACTCGACTGCTAGACTTTCCTGGGATGCTGGCCGGCAGTCCACACCGTTGACAAACTTCGGCTTCTCATTCTGGCTGAAAGCAATGTCCTATCACGAGCACTTCGTATCTTGAGCATTCCGTGTGGTGGTACATGTGTACCTGTATGTGCATGAATGCAAGCACAGCATGCATACGCTGAAACTTCAACAGGCATGTAGGCGAACATTGGAAACAAAGCCGCTTGAGTTTTCCAAGATGACATAATACTGTCACAAGCCCACCTGCAAAGAGGGTAGAACCGGTGGGTCCCGACGCTGAAGGAAATGAATCAGCATCAATACCTTGACGCAGACGACATCTGTGGACCGCTACTGAAGCACGCATTGAAGGGCAAGTGGAAGTTCACCAAGCGAAACAAGTACGTTACTGGCATATGTATTATTGCGTGTATATGACACTATCGGTAGATTATGCTAACATGTATCATTATTATGATGAATATTAATGTTATTATGTTTATCACTATGATTATGATTATGATTATTATTACTAGTATTATGATGATGATTATTCTTATTGTCATCATTACTAATATTCTTACTAGTATTATTATTACTACTACTATTATTATTGTACTTATACATATATATATATATGTATGTATGTATGTATTGTGTGGCATCTCAATCATGCCCCAATAGCTATAGTCTCATCAACAACTTGGCCGTGGACCAAAGCAAAAGATGAGATCGTCCCACGACCTTCAGCATGGAGCAACCGTGTGATCAACCGAAGAGCGCTTGTGCAACACAACACGCTACATCCGAAGAGAATCTGCTACGTTGCATAGCAGCCCAGATGCCGACCCGAACAAGTCCCATGCGTGTCCCCTTCTGCTCCAACCACTTCAGCGTGAACGGAACTGCTCCTTCAGCTCTCAGGCCCAATTCTAAAGGTCTAAGCCCCAAGACGCATATTTCCCAGCATCCTAATTAGACCCTAGAAGCTCCTGAATAACCTGAAAGAACCAAAAGCCATGACTCAACCCCGATTAGAAACTCTGAACCTAGATCCATCAAACCAAAGCCCTCAACGCTGACAGTTGCCCGCATTATTATAAATGAATTCCTCGGGTTTGGCAGATTTTGTCAGAGGTCTTGTGCTTTGGGATTTCGCTCTGGGTTTCTTGGGCGTTGAAACGATTGAGGAGGGTAGGGCGGTGGGATGATGGTGTCATTCCTCACGGCGCGTGTCTCTGAAGAGCTTGGCGTGCTTCATGGGAACAGCAGTCTTTTGCTGGATTCAACGCAAAAACATGTTGGGTGATGACAAAGCAAAACAAAGGGCAACAACTAAGCGCACACCTTTCTCAGCAGCTATCCTTCCACGCAGCTCAACAAATCTGATGACGAAAGAATGCAAAAAAGGTTGTTCTGAATTTTGGGTCCTCTCATTTGCAATGATCCAGCACATTCTTGAATTCAGGGGAATACTGAACCGCTACTCCCAGACTGTGAGAAGTCTTCAAACATTCATGTCCCTTGGCAATCGGGTCTCTGGTTCATCATCCCAAAGACCCTAAACCCTAAACCCTGAACCCTAAACGTCCTGACAGGGCCCTTTGTGTCTGCGTGGATCGAGGGCGCGGCTTCGATCGTTGATTCGGCGAGCTGCGGCCCAGGCCTTTGCCATCGACTGTTTACACCGCTGGGCTCCGGGTGGGGAGGTTTAGGGGTCGGGGCTTGGCGCTTACGGCCTACGATCATAATCATAATCATAACAATAGTAGTAATAATAATAATAATAGTATTAATAATAATAATAGTAATAATAGGTCTTAAAGGGTTGAGAGTCTGCAGGATCAAAGCTCCAGGTGATATCCTAGCCCCACATGGCAGTCTCCTGCGTTGAGACAGCCTGCTGCAAGACACACATGAGGTTTGTTTAAGCAGTCTTGGTGTGCCAGGAACCGTTGTTTACAACAACACACGGATTTCAGAAGACTGAAGGCCTTGCAGCGTCGCTGGAGCTTTTCCCTTGACCTCTTTGCATTTTCCAATTTTTGAATTTAATTTCAGACAACCCTCGTCACTAATTTCTTAAGTCCACACGTCACGCCATAAGCCCAAAACTGGCTAGACACCGCACCCTAATCCTCTTCTGCTGCAGAAGTCGGAAGACTCTAGAACTGGTGCCCTAAAACCCCGAACCAACCCTAATTAATCCCTAAACTCTAAACGGAGTTCGTAGTTCGAAGCGCCCCCCCCAGGCCTTGATACAAAGGCCCAACGTCCGAACGCGATCGTCTAGCCGCACGTAGTGACCCACCAGCCTGCCCGTCGAAGGCTTCATGACAAGGGCAACATCGCAGTCTTGTTTTGGAGTATATTCTACTGTTGTTAGAAGACAGAGCCTTAAGGAATAATCTCCTTAGTACTAATTGCTCAGGCCTCAGGCATCAAGATGGGAGCAGCAGCTGCAGTATAAACGGCAGCAGCAGGAGTGGCCCTAGCCGGAGCAGTATAGACGTAGTGGCTGTAGTGGGCGTCGCGGTCCTGGTAGTAGTCGTCACCGTCGTGGTGGTGGTGGTGGTGGTGGTGGTGGTGGCGGCGGCGGCGGCAGCGGCGGTGGTGGTATGGGAGAACTGGAAGTAGTGACAAGAAGGAGGTAATCATACGAATAGTCAGCACGACAGCAGCACCTGCTATGACAGTACTCTGGTAAAGGTAATTAACAGAATACGGGAATAACGATAATTGATTAGTAGCGCTCTATCAGAATCCAAAAGTCATAATATGCATCTTTCCCTAGAACGAGCAACAGCATGAACAACGCTAACATTCATGGCGACGAAGCTCTCACCGTTCGGTCTTAAGGCTTGCCAGGGGATGATGGTTGACTGAAGGTTCAAGTTTCAACGATTTCCACTTTTAAATTGGGTTACAAGATTGAGAAATCGAGATGCAGTGTCTTTGGTTTGAAGGGCTCCAGGTGTCCATGGACTATGCCCGCAACCTATGAGAGTTGCGGCTGAGGATTACGTCCCGAACCAAAAAGGATCAAACTTCAGTGATTCATCCCTACCTGAACTTATAACCCATTTCCGCAGCGGCCTCCATCAGCACATGGTGAAAACCAAAACCTCTCAGAAATCCCTTGAAATTGAAGCTTGACCCTCAGACTACTCTCCGAACTGGCCTGGAATTCACTACTGCGAGGACATTGTTCACACTGATGTCGCAGGAAACCATGCCGGGCCTGCATGGCTTTCACGGCTTAAGCTCCTTGACCCCAATAAGCATGGTTTAGTTGCCGCTGGGTTTCTACGATCCTATAAACGAACTTCCAATCCTAAGGAACACCCAGTTTACGAAGGGTTTAATGTTGGGACCCACTATGGGATCTGGGCCAAGGACCGCGGCTAAGCCTCGAGAAGTCGCGAGAACAAAAGCAACGCTAAGTCTTATGGCACGCTACTTCTTGTTAGTGCTACCTCGTAGCAGCCGCACCACAGCAGCGGCAGCAGCAGCAGCAGCAGGAGGCGAAGGAGGAGGAGGAGGAGGAGCTGTTGTTGTTGTTGTTGTTGCTTCTGCTGCTGCTCCTGCTGACAATGCTTCTGTTGATGCCGTTGCTCTTGCCGCTCTTGCTGCTGTTGCTGCTCTTGCTGCTGTTGTTAATGTGTTCCTGCTGCTGTGGTTGTTGCTGCTGCTACTGCTGCCGCCGCCGCCGCAGGTGGTGGTGGCGGCGGCGGTAGTGTCATTGTCGTTGGTGTTGCAGCAGTGGTCGCAGCAGTAGCATTAGTTGGCCGCATTAGTTGGCAGCATTGGTAGGAGCGCAAGCCATTGTAATTGCTGCTGCTGCTGCTGTTGTTGTTGTCGTCGATGCGGTTGGTGTTGCTGCAGCGGTAGGTGAGGCAGTAGCACTAGTGATCAGTTGGTAGAAACACGAACACCGCTTATTGATGCTGTTGTTGCGTTGTCGTTGTTGTTGCTGTTGCTGCTGGCGTTGGTCTGGGTTCAGGCTTGGGAATGAGCAAAGATAAGCTCATCGGTTGGAGGGCTTAGAGTCAGGGCGCTGGGCCCAGCTGAAAGTGCAGGTGCTCGGGAGCCCCGGCAGAGTCCGCACGCCACGCACAGATCACTAAGGCACCCGCCGAAGTGGAGCCCAATGCAGGATTGGCACCTCCACTGCCACGGTGTGATCGGGCTTACTCTACTCACGAATAGGATGCGAAGCAATCGGCACGTTGATGAAATCGATTACGTGGACGTTCAAGCTCCCTGCAAGTCCTTGCCGCCATAACTTTAGACTATAGGAGTTTCACTGCAGCGCTACATGTCACAAAAATCCCTAAAGCCTAAAGCAGGCCACACGTGGCGAGAGAAGCAGGTAAACCCCGCGGTAACAGTCCAACAGCAAGAACCAAGCATTATCATACACCACCATCCGTTTCTTTTCACTCGTATCATTCCGAAACCATCAGTGTTATACACTGTTGGTATTTGTCTTCCGGCTTACGGCTCTTGCCCGAGCTTAGAAACCTCCTGTCGCGCCTGGGCCCCGAACCTCGCTTCGACATAGTGGGTCTTGGCCTGCCGTAGCCAAGAAAGCAACCCTTAGAACAAACCACAGTTTAGGGTTTAGGGTTTAGGGTTTTAGGGTTTACGGTTTAGGGTTTAGGGCTTCAGGGTTTTAGGGTTTTGGGTTTAGGGCACAGTAACCCCAAAGTAACCTCATCGTAAGCCTGTAATGGCCGGTGCAAGTTAGGGTCGCGTTAGGGGTGTCAGGGGTCTTGGCATCCTCCTCCTTGCAGCCCAACAAATCCGGTGACACCTGCTTTCGGGGTCCAATTTCGAGACTCGGTCCCCTTTGATTTTAGGTCCCCAATATAGTACCCTACCCTTACAAAAGGCCCCTAAAAGGGACCCTAATTTACTAACTAAAGGGGACTCTAATTTAGAGAACTGCTTTAGGCGTTTCGCATGTGGAGCTTCGAGGCTCCAGGGTGGACGGCTTTTGGGCTTGGGGTCCAGACCCTGGGGCTGGGCCTGGCTTCGAGCTCCTGTCCTTCTAAGGCTTGTGGTTTAGGATTTGGAGTTTAGGGTTTAGGGGTTTAGGGTTTAGGGTTTAGGGGTTTAGGGGTTAGGGTTTAGGAGTTTAGGGGTTTAGGGGTTTAGCGTTTAGGGTTTAGGGTTGGTCTTCATGACCTGCCCCGCCTGAAGGATTACATGTATACGGGCAGGGCCTAGGAATTGAGGGTGAGCCCTGAACTCCAAACCCAAAAGCCTAGAACACAATTCGATGCCGCCGTCCTTGGTCAGTTCGGCAGAAATTTGCCGCAAGACCTTGCGGACGGGACAACGAGCCCATCACCAAGCTCCGAGAGGTCTCGGGCGTTCAGGGGTTTGAGTTACGGATTTTTCGGCTGCGATGGCTGCCTTGGGGTTCTCAGCTTGAAGGCTTCGGGGGCTTAGGGCATTTACCATGCCACTCAGATCCGACACACGACAAGCCCAGCACACGCCTGCCAGGACCCAAAAAGCCCGACTCCAACCCCTGAAAAGCCCTAAACCCTAAACCGCACTCAAACCATAGTAGTTCCCTTTTGGGATTACCTTATAGGAAATAACCTTATAGGATTCTAAATATAAACCACAAAAAAGAAACAATTATAATGGAGCCTATAGAAGCCTCAACCACTGGATTGGATGAAAAGGCCCCAAGGGCCCCATGAAGTCCCAAGCAAAGGCACTTGGATCTGAGCGTTCCGAGTGGAAGCTCCTGCTTAAAGGGATTATAAAAGGGATCTCAGGATCCCAATACATAAAGTATATTATATTATAATATAGTTATATTGTATTATATTAGATTATCTTAGATTAGATTAGATTATATTAGATTAGATAAGATTATAGCATATTAAATAATCGGTGGTCAAACATGCTCAGGGTGTAAGTTCTGGGGCTTAGGTTTTCGGGTATATACGGTTTTAGGCTCTGGATTTAGGCAGTAATCCTCGCTAGACGATCTGTCTACCTAATATTGCAGAAAGGGAACACAGCCGGCAAGCCTATTCTAATTCGTAAGGCCCCTATTTTCTGAACCCCTAATTAAACCCTGAACCATCACCAACTTACTGAGTTTGGGAAAGCCAGTGTAGACCGTGGTCATAAAGGTTTAGCGAAAGCGAAGCTCACATTTGGCCAGTTGTTTAGGGTTTAGGTGTTACGGTTCAGGTAACCCTAAACCATCAACCCCGGCACCACTCCTATCTATACGGCCACAAGCCTCATGCTTAGAGTTGTACGAGTGGGCTTCACAAAGCCTCAGGGTTTCGAAAGCATCAGGTTCTTGCAGGGCATTTGTTGTAGGGATGCTAGAGATGCGGAGTTCAGGGCTTCGGACACAGGCAAGCTTACGGCCTTGTCAAGTTATGCGTGCTCAGATCCCGGACACAAGAGAATCACGCAGTGAACGCAGCCAGGCACGTGGTGAGCTGCAGCTGCCATGTGTCTCTAGTGAGAACGAATTTCCCCCTGAAATACCAACTCCCGGCGGCCACGTGCGTCCGAAACGGTCGTGAACATGCAATACAAAACCGCAGTTCTTTCAGCAATTTTGAGGATCCACTGCAAAACAACGGCGCCGGGTGTCCTGGAACACGGACCTCGGAGGCCATCGGTCTTTGGCTTCGAAGACTTTCCCTTGTGGAGTTTTGGGTCCAGATTCACGATTCAGGGTTAAGGATGTCAAGCTTCGGGTTCTTTTTCAGGGCTCTACATGATTCTAGCAGATTCTCGCAGCTCACAAGTTAAGGGCAACGATCTTAGAGGTGGCCAAACCGACATCATGTGAAGAGCTGAGGCACACAAACGTCGACGTCGCTCGTTGGCGTCCAGAAACCTGGGCCCAATCGACTGCTTCAATGTTGGGGAGTTTGAATGAAGTTTAGGGTTTAGGGCTTAGAGTTTAGGGTTTGGGGTTTCGGGTTTAGGGTTTAGGATGCCACAACATGATCGAATCGGCCATGCTCAGCACAGTCCGATATGCCGCATTGCATGATGCTGAGACGTGAGCAGTGGCTCCAACATGTTCCCTTTGCCTGTGATGCTGCTCTGTGTGTGTGTGTGGGTGTGTCATCTGCGATGTGATACACTCTCTAAGTTTGCAACACCCCTCCCTGCACAGTGGGGCCATGCATGCTAGATCCTTTGCGTAACACCATTCGTCACTAGGATCCCCAGCGTTAGGTTATTATCGGTTAAGTGCTTCCGGGGCTCCAGTGTTCTGAATTAATACTACACGCACGAATATCATTCCTATCATGGCAGCTAGACGCTGCAACTAAAGACTCCCTCGTAAAACAGACGTATAGGCACTATTGTTGCTTCAAGCCCCGCAGACCTGCAAAGCCCTACCTCCGCAGGTTGCTGTTGCCCAAGTCTGCCTGAACCCGATGCAGCTCAAAAGTAGGCACCCAAGTCATTCGAATAGGGTCTGATGCGTCTTCCCGAACAGCCTCTCCGAGCCCCCCTCCACCAAACTATCGATTTTCAGCCCCAACTGCCGATGCCGATCTTCGTGAAGTTCTTTGTATTTTGCAACTTAAAGACTCTAGAGTATTCCTGCTTCCATATTGCCATAGTCAACTCATCCACCAGAAAACCCCTGAAAAGCTTGAGGTCCCACCTAATTAAGACGTCACCAAAAACTATTCTACTTGAATTGTTAAGGCACCTATACTCGATGTATTTTCGGAGTCCTATCTTTCCATCGAGGCGAGGGCCGTTGACGACCGACCCGAACGGCGAAAGGTCCGCCCCATCCTGTGCAGCATGGGCCCCGTAGGTTGCATGGGCGGTTTAGGGCATTTAGGGCTCAACATAGGTGCCAAACCCGTAATTGCAGTACAAATTCTCTGGGACTCTTATGGAATGTGATTACCAACACTCTGAACAGTGTTCTTGAGATTTCAGATAGCACAATGCGTAAAGTCTACTACTTACGACGCACCCTGATTATGGTAACTTACCTGAAGTTCCTGAACAAGCACTCTAACATTGAATGGACAAAATCTTGCACCAGCTTTCACAAACGTCATTTCAGTGATTCCACACGCCCCCCATTTGTTCAACATTGCCTATGAAAGGCTTCCTACAGGATTTGCTCCAAGGACCGAAATCTTGCACCCCTAGCTGCCAAGGTTAAGTAGGGGGGGGTGCGGGGTTTGATGCTTCATTCGTTTGTGTGC